ACCATTAATTAAAATGAATAGCGACTCTTGCTTTCAAACAACAGTTAGTTATTTCTGTGGTTAGGGTTGTCTTCTGTATATCTGAATATTTAATTGTTAGTTTTGCTTACTACTCTACTTATATAAATAAATGTCAATATTTACGAAAACTTAAGAAGAAATTAAGAGTACGTGAATATGTGCCTTGTCGATAAACGACGACAACGAGACCTGGCGCGTGTGACAGTATCAAACTAGGGCGCAATTTCAAGGGCGGACTATATGGCGGGTGTGCCCACTGGATAACGTGCACCTCCAAGTCGAGGGTACCAGTAGCCGGATAACCAGGAAACCCAGGACCCTAGAAAGGAAATCCTTGGTACGCCGACGGACCCTGAGCCTTCTGTGGTTTGTAGATGACTTCTTCCTGTGTGGAAACCGCAGGTTTGGCAGTGGTTTGACTCCGGAGGGATTCCTCAGGCGCAGTGCGTCCGGGACTCTCCTGGGTAAGTATATCTTTTTACAGCCTACACTAAAAGCGGGTACAATATGTAGACTACTATGGACCATATAGTGCTTTTGCAGACGAAAGTCGCAAAAATGTTTTTGATTCAAACTAGATACTTATATCATTGTCATAAGTCTACCGCAGTCCACTGCTGGACATGGGCCTCTCCCATTGCACGTCACTTTGATAGATTTTCGGCTCCTCGCATCTAGCTCCTGCCTTAAAACTAGGTAGGTACATAAATAGCTGTTAACATTTCCTTGGTATACATATATATAGAAGACTATATATTTATTACAATATGTATCAAAGTTCACGGTCGCGGGTTTTTCTCCTCCGGTGTACGCCAGCTGTCTCCTTGAAGTCGTCCTTCAATCTTCGGAATGGTCTACCTCTCGCTCTTTTCCGTCCCTAGGGTACCTCAAACTCAAACTTTCTTTATTTCATAAAATTTCCAAAATTGTTTGAAATCGTCTTCCATGTAGACTCTAAAGTCATAGATCAACACACACAAAAGCAACAATCTCTGTTTTGTCAAATACCATTCTGAAACATCTTTTGCCCATTTTTCTTTCGTTGTTCTAATTAGATAGACCGCCCATTTCCGACCGAGGTAACCGACGTAAACCAGGACCTCGAAAATGTGGTTCGCATCCTCAGGGAAGAAGGTACTAGATTACGTACGAGTACGAAAGAAATGCAGCGTAAGGCCAGAAAGTCGAAGCTTTCAGAAAGGACCCTAGGGCTGATGAACAAACGATGTGAAAACCAACCTGTCACTTTATCGGCAAAGCGGACTCTAAACCGAGAGATCAGTAAGCTCGTACGACACGACCTCCGGTGCTCCAATATCCTGCGGTACTCTTTCAATTGAATTCAATTGAATCGGGGCTCAAAAGTATTCGTACAATCTCTTGGCAGCGGTTCGGAGCGGATATGGCACCATAGACCACATCCACACAGATTATTTAGAAGACCGAAGAACATAATCAGCCCCTGTGTCTAGCATTCGCGGAATATGAGAAGGGCCTTGGACTCGATCGAGATCTGGCCTGTTGTGTAAAGTAGATTGGCGATACATCCAAGTGATGAAATGTCTCTATAGAGCCACCACCATGTCCGTCCAAATACAGAATCGGCAAACAAGGCCTATACCGTTGCATCAAGGAGTGAGACAAGGGGACGTTATTTCCCCGAAATTGTTCACAAATGCAATGGACAACATGTTCAAGACGCTGCACTGGAAAGGGCGTGGTAATAATTTCAATAGCGAATACATCTCTCACTTGCGATTTGCAGACGACATCGTCATCATGGCAGAGACGCTGCAGGACCTACAACAAATGCTGAATAACCTAGATGACTCTTCTGTATGCATCGGCCTACGGATGAACTTGGATAAAACAGTCATGTTCAACGAATATGTGCTACCGGAACCGATGTTTTCTTTAGTTAAGGTTCTTTATCTTACAGCTATAGGTCATTATAGGAAACAAACTAGAGTTGTAAATCCAGCTTTTTAGTTTTAATGGTATTATAGGGTTTTTTGCAACTTCTTTTAACGACCAGTACCTTTTCCATGATAAATTTATCCTGATTAGAATTTCCTTGGAAGTGGGATGTATGTGCCTGCTGAAGATTCTTTGACCAAGCAATAACGTAATAGGCAGAGATAAATAATTATATTTTATTATTATTGACACTCCACACAAATTTCGGCATTTGCATTTACAGCTCAGTACAGAATACCTTTAACGTTACAGAGCAATCTCTTTCATTCAAGGTTTACCTTCTTTTTTTGTACGTGTGGAAACCCCTCGGCTCGTCAGTGACGGCATTGCACAAACCGCTAGCGTGTGCTGAGCACTTCCCTCCTAGTGACCGAGTGCAGGTACCTGCCGATGTAACCGTGTCCGGTAAAAACCTGTGTCAGTCGAAAGGCAAGGGTCCCGAGATGCCGCCGTGCCCGCTGGAAGGCAACTTTTACCTCTGAAGGATTACTTTTAAAACTAATGATAGTGATATTATTTTGATAAGATTTGGTGAAACGTTCTCTGGATTTGAAACTAAATTATCCCATAAAAACAAAAATGTGAAAATGGGAGCCAAGTTCAATATTAAACATTTGCGCGGTTGTCGACTTCGCCTGAAAAGAAGTGAGATTTAAACTGGTTTCAAGTTCTGAAGATAATATTTAAATTTATTTATAGGATCATACAACATCCTAAAATAAATCTAAAACACTTTTTTTTTGTATCGTCTGTTACAACAATGTTTTTTCTATTTAATCTCCCTAAGATTAATATATAAACCTAATTAAATGTTTTGAGTTTTTTGGGGGTAAAAAGTGGCTCAAATGGTTCGTGTAATAGTTATGCTACGTATACAGTGCAGTATGAACTTAGCTTGATACGCTTCTGCGTGTCTAGATCAGTATTTACTATCAGCGTATCATTGGGTTCCATGAAATTCCCAATTTATTACTGACTAGTGCAAATCAATTTATTTCAATCTACATGCTTATTAATTTTAATACTGCTAATATAATGCTTTTACTAAATGTCATATTTTATGTTTTTTATTATATTACTACGAGGTTCCTTTAAAAAATCCTTTGTTTATATGGATATTTTCTTGCTGTTTACTTATTCCACACATATTACCCCTAATAGATTCCGCATACAGGGCCACAAACTTGCTACTTTCTGTAGCTAGCATACGACGTGACGCTAAGAATCACAACATTAGTAACAACCAAGTTCGTGACCCGTACGCACGTCCGAGTTCTTGACAATTTAAAATAGTTGTATATCAAAATATATTAGAAATGGCTTCCTGTACAGTGAAATGGTGTGGCAAGTCAGCTAAGACATCCAGTTATCAAAAGATGGTATAACATTTCATCGGTAAGTAAATTATATTCTTATCATTAACCTATTTCAAATGCACTGGAATTCAACTCATAATGGTGCAAAGTAATTTCAATTAAGCACCCGTTGATGTCTTTTCGAAATGTCCCTTTCACTCATTACGTAAATTAAAATAGTTGTCTTTGTCTAATGACTGCACATGTATCGATAGTGTTGTGATTTATAGGTCGATATTTGTTTAACCTTTGAAGGTTTTTTATTGAAGTCATTATTTTGTAAAAATATTGTCGTATCATTGTGGTATATGTTATTGGTTTCCTAAATACCCCAAAAGAAAAAGATGTAGATCGATGCAACTTGTCGAGGGGACGATTGGTTTTCTCCCAAAAATGGTGTGATATGCTCAAAACACTTCACAGAAGACCATCTTCATTTTATAAACAACCATAGAAGGTTGTTGGAAGACAAGAAAGACAGATCCTAAGGATTCTGTGAAACGTTATAAATACGTTTCACAGAATCCTTAGGATCTTCCATTTACATAATCAGTGAAATATACATTTAAAAATCAATTGTACAAATCTGTACCTCCTGATGAGTGATTTAAGTCGAGTTGTACCCTTATGGTGATTTTTACATGAAAATACTTAGAAAGAGACTTCATTTTTTTCTGTTAACTCACGTTCTTTTATTTACTATAGTTTAGGAGATGATTTTGTTGCCAAGTGATATAACTGGCAGGATTTTTGCACAAATATCGTAAATATCGATGTATTTAAAGTTGTAATCTCTATAAACAATTCCTGCATACATTAATTTTCGTGCTTCGTGGTATAAGTGCGATTATATTAATTTTCATATAATATTATTCAGTATATTTAACGTGAATATGGATATAATTACGGTTATATTACTTTGAACAGAGCCGAATCTAAATTTCTAAATAAAAAGCCGAATCTAAAAGTCCAAGATTTCAACAAACTAATACAATGCCGCCTAATTATGAAAGCAGGGAATTGATAAGTAAAAAAAAAAACATCTTTGGGGTAGTAATTTTAATTCTTTGAACAACTTTAACAAAATAAATTTGAACAACTTTGCGCTACAAACATCTTCTAATGAGTTTTTAGATATGTGTGTGTTGAGTATTCAGTGAAAGTGAATGTTCTTATCTACAAAAGAAGGTACTACAATTTTTAAATCTTGTTTTGGTTCTCCTGTAAAGTATTGTTTTTTTACTTGTATCACTTTTTACAGGAGGCACAGAAATAAATATACATGCTTTTATATTTTTAATAAATGTCACCTATACATTGATCAATATAATTATTTATCAATAAAATAAATATCAAAATTTAGATGACCAAACCATTTTATCGATCAACGTCCAACCCTGTCCCAACACCAAGGTTTAGTGCATTTTATGTTTGACGTTAAAATATCTAATCACAGCGCATTTGACAAGTCCCCCGCACCCTTTTTTTTTCCGTGCGGTAATCCTTTTTTTTTCCGTGCGGAAAAAGTCCCCCGCACCCTCGAGCCAGACTCTTAATTCGAAGAAGAACGACGAACTGCTGAAATAGTTTTTATATAATTATAGCGTTTCATTGTAATTAGTGTGTACCTACAGACTATGTTAAATCATGTGCAAGTGTGTTAAGAATACAGACTTAGAGGTAGATTTCCTATCTAAGTTCATAAAATCATATTATTATGTTATTAGATTATTAGAGCCATTATTAACACACAATATTTAATGTACAAATGTTAATACACATTTAGGACTGTCATTATAATCGACTACTTTGTTTGCTGCATAACTATTTCATGATCTTACTAAATTTACAAAAAAAAAACACAAAAACTACCTATAAATTCGTCTATCTAGAGTCATTTTGTCCGTCCAAAGGTTACTGGTAAGAAATTGCTTTCAAACGATAGAGCCGCCTTTGATTTACTTACCTACTCTTGTATGTATGATGTACTAAAATGGTGAACAATAAAGTTTTATTCTATTCTGTTCTAAGTCTGTAAATGATGACTTTGGTGACTTCAATATTATAATTAACACACTAGAAAATTCTTATGAAGTGTCGAATCACAGCCACCAACAAACCAGCCAACCAGCATAGATGGAATAAGAAAATAATAAAATCTGGTTTTATCAAATAATGGTACATTTTGAAGTACACGCTACGTTCTACGCTCTATTTAATTATATATAATTTAGAATTATTTTACTTTAATGGTAGGTGTGATATAATAATAATGTTCTAAATGAGAAAAAACTAAAAGTCTTTCTTTTTACAGGTAACGTTCAACAAACTCACCTCAATAAGTCCTGAAAATCGCCGAGCTAATGGAATGAGTTTTGTTCAGTCTGGTTTTTTCTTACAATTAACATTAATGGCTCTGTCCTTGGAAGTGGATTCACAAACGAGAGCTGAAATTGATAGAGCTATAGGATTTCGAGATTCGGACAGGGTATAGTATTCCAAAACGTAAATATTTGACTTATTTTTTTGACTTTAGTGTGTCTTGTCTGCAATTACACCATAGAAGTAACAAATTGAATATTTTGTTCTGGAAATATTCTCATTACAAATTTCTTGCTATAATTTTTTGTTCATTAATAAACTAAATTGTCTATTACTAGGAAACCAAAAGTCTTATGCGAGAATTGATATCATCTCTACCTGTCGATTCGGAAATATTAAAGTTCCGTCGAGCTTCCCGAATGGTTGTAATGCCTGATTGCGTAGTAACGCCACAGTTTCGTACCGGTGCAGCCGCTGCGATACGAATGGACGTAGGCTCATTTAATGGCACTGAGAAACCTGAACAAATCTGCACAATTCTTAACCAGAAGGTAAAGCATTTGCACAAGCGTACTGGTCTTCTTCCCGTTGCTAAAAATTATGTTGGGTTTTGGGCTTCCCTTGTCTTATAACGCTTTCAATTCATCAAAATTTCATGTCATGTCATGTACTTGATATACGACTACACTCGGTTCCAAAAATTGCGGGTCAGTCACAAAAATTGAAATACCTCCAGAACTGTAAAAGTTAGATCAATGAAATAAAAAACAGAATAAAGACTTTTTAGTTGCGCTTCTAATAGCATATTATTTAAACTGGTTGATGAAAAAAACTTCATTAGGAAAACAAAATTTAAAAAAAATACTATTTTTAAAAACAAAATTTTTGTTTCATTTCATTATAGATTCTTTCCATTTCTATTCTGTCACAAAAAAAAAACATCGTGAACGTCTTCCACGTGCATAATTATTATTCTGTGAGGTGAAGCATGGCAGTCACGCTAGAGGAATGTACCAGAATCCTAACTTTTATGGAACTTGGGCGGAGCCAGCGTGAAACAGCCAGAAACATTGGTGTATCTTTGTCGACTGTTCAGCGGGTAGTCCAGCGGTACCAAGAGACCGGATCACACCTTAGAAGACCAGGAAATGGCAGACCAAGATGCACAACGGCCAGGGAAGACAGACAACTGGTGGCTACAATGCTCCGAAATCGTTTTCAAACTGCTGTTGGTCTAAAAACTCACTTTATACGCTTTGGAGGTGGTAATTTAAGCGCACAAACAGTAAGAAGACGTCTTGCTGAAGCAAATTTGAAACCATTGTAGCGAAAAAATTTAACATTGTATATATGAATATGATTAACAAGCGAGTAACAAAATGAGAGAGAGTGAAGTTCGTCGCGTCGCGCTCGCGAGCTTCACGATGGTTGTCGTCTTTTAATTAACGCCGATAGATGGCGTTAACATGGCCCCGCCTTTGGAAGCAGCAGGCTTTCAAAATATTAAGGATTGACCGTCTTGCTGTCTTCTATCTCCGGCGGCAGCAGTGGGAGAGGACAGATTTTCGAAGTGGCGCGTCGTACTATGCCAGCTGTTGTCAGGATATCTGCTACTCGTGATACTCCGTCCTTGCCAGGGTAGGTGTGCACGACGCGGCCCAATCGCCATTTGAGAGGTGGTAAGTTCTCCTCTTTGATGAGCTATAGATTAGAGTGTTTAGTGCGATGTCAGCTTGGTGGATCTTCCACTTGGTGCGAGTCTGAAGCTCAGAAACATACTCCTTCGACCAGCGCTGCCAAAAATGTTGCCTCATTTGTTCTATGCGGTCGTATCGCATCAAACGGGGCGCTGGAATCGTCATCAGGTCTTCGCACGGTGGAGCGGTCAGAGGCCGGCCAATAAGGAAATGACCAGGAGTAAGAGGAAGGAGGTCGTTGGGATCAGAGGATAATGGGTGCATAGGACGAGAATTTAGTATGGCTTCGATTTGAGTAAGAACAGTGCTAAATTCCTCATATGTCATATTACTATTTCCTAAAACCCGTTTAAGGTGATATTTGCATGATTTGACCCCCGCCTCCCACATACCCCCAAAATGAGGTGCGTATGGTGGAATAAAAATTAACTTTATGCCATCATTAGCGGCATAATCAATGAGTTGTGGACTATTATTTTGCAAAAAGGAAGACAATTCCTTTTCAGCACCAACAAAAACCCTACCATTATCGCTAAATATTTCGATAGGTTTCCCTCGACGAGAAATAAATCGTTTTAAAGAAAGTAAGTAATCGTTTGTACTGAGACTCGATACTACTTCTAAGTGTATTGCGCGCGTAATAAAGCAAATGAATAAACAAATGTAACACTTTGTAAGCTTAGCTCCTCTCCCTTTACGGCTCAGTATCATGAACGGTCCAGCGTAGTCTACCCCGCAGCGCATAAAGGGATAGCCAGGATCCAAACGTTCAGAAGGTAAATCACCCATGATGGGTGATAGGGTTTTCCCTTTAAGACGTGTACACATAGTGCATTGACGATTAACCTTCCTAGCTAAGTTTCTACCAGACAGCGGCCACCAGGTTTCACGAATTGTTGAAAGTAGTAACTGTGGCCCTGCGTGAAATAGCCTTTTATGGTCGTATCTAAACAGCAATACACAAAAATATTTTTTACTGCATAACAATATAGGATGTTTTTTATTATAATTGAAGTTAGGCGCATTAGATAACCTACCTCCGACTCTAATTAATTTATTTTTATCTAAGAATAAGTTAAGACCAGATACTCTGTTAGTATCACCTTTACATGGAATTGGTAACTGTTGTAATAAATATTGATACTCACTAGGGAACGACTGGAGCTGTGCAATACGAACCAACATAATTAGAGACGCATCCAACTCGTCAACTGATAAAGAACCGAGGTTTCTATCTTGTTTATTTGCTAAGCGCGCGTTTTTTATAAATCGCAATACATAGGCACCGCAACGTTTAAGGCGCAAGAAAGACGAGAAACGCGTAAAATCTATTAAATAATCCCTAGTATTAGAAACGTTAGAAACGGCACACACTGTATTCCCTTTTAATTCTGGCAACTCAATATTGTCGTACGTTTTATGATTTACTTCAAAATTAATATGTTTATCTAATAAAAAGGAAGGACCATCCCACCACAGGGTACAGTCAACAAGTGCATCTAGATAAATACCCCTAGATACTAGATCGGCCGGGTTATCCTTGCCGCTAACATGTAACCATACTGAGTCACTTGTTAGTTCATTGATTTCTGTAACACGATGTCGTACAAACGTTTTTAAAGAGTGGGGAGACATGCGTATCCAACCCATAACTATAGTGGAGTCCGTCCAGAAGTAAATCTTATCAAACGATAATCGAAGCGAATTCACAATTTTCTTATATAGTCTCGCGCCTAAGAGGGCACCGCATAACTCCAGTTTTGGAATGGTAACCGCTTTAAGGGGCGACACTTTACTTTTTGCGCATAACAACTTAACTGTTACAACAGAATCAATACAATTATTATACGTACGCACATACGCACATGCGCCGTATGCATTTTGAGATGCATCCGAAAAAATATGTAATTCTTTTATTTTGTTTTGTTCACTCATTACATATCGCGGGATTCGATGATTGTGTAAACATTGTAACGTATTTACGAATTTAATCCAATCGCATTCAATAGTATTTGAAACTTCATCATCCCAACCTATTTTGCAAAGCCATAATTTTTGCAATAATATTTTTGCAATAATCGTGGCCGGGGCCAACAAACCGAGTGGATCATAGATTTGAGAGATAACAGATAACATTGTACGTTTAGTTATAACTTGCGTATTTGTCACCGCGGTGGTGAAATGAAACTCATCACTAGTGTTGTACCAACCGATTCCTAGGGTTTTAATTTGACAATGTTCACCCACGCATAATTCCTTTGAAGTGTTGACCATAATGTCGTAATTAAAGGTCCATTTACGCAATGGAAAACAACCCGAGGATAACACTAAAGAAACCTTTTTACAAATCTCTAATAATATCTGTTTATCATCGTGACCCGTGATAAGATCATCAACGTAAAAATCTTCATTTATTATTTTAGCAATTACTTCGTCATTACAGTCAAGCGCTAACTGTCTCAAGCAGCGCATGCTTAAGTACGGCGCGGATGCAGTTCCGTACGTAACCGTATTTAATTTGTAAATAGATAACGAATCCGACGGGCATTCTCGCCACAAAATTAATTGTAGATTTCGTTGATCATTCTGAATAAGAATCTGCCGAAACATCTTCTCAACGTCGGCACATGCTACATATTTATATTGCCGAAAACGTAATAATATTGAGAAGATTTCGTTCTGAAGAGGCGGACCTATCATTTGAATATCATTAAGCGATTTATTCGATGTGGTCACAGCACTAGCGTCGAACACAACGCGCAGTTTTGTAGTAATACTGCTTTCCCTATAGACACCGTGGTGCGGGAGAAAGTAATTAGGTGTTTCTATTACGTTTATCTTTGACATATGACCCATATCAATATATTCACGAATAAAATCCGAGTATAATTTCTTATACCGCGGCAGTCGGTTTAATTTACGTTCTAACGATAAAAAACGTGATTTAGCTAGCGCGTATGAGTCGCCGAGGCCATCAGCTGATTCCCGTAACGGTATGCGCACGGAGAACCTGCCACTCTTGGGGTCTCGCTTAGTGGATTCAATGAATAACCTTTCGCACTCACGTTCGTCTTCCGTAAGCAGTTTACTGAAGGTACTGCCGGTTATATCTTCTAATTCCCAGAAAAGTTTTAATTGTTCATTTACGGTTTGCGTAAAGTTACATTGCAACTGCTGAGAGTTACGCGATCGAGAAACAATAGGACCCGAAATTAACCATCCTAACTTTGAACCCTGTAGGCATGGTCCACTCGGTAATCGAATTCTATTGTCATCCAATAACTCCCAGAAAACATCAGCGCCTATCAACAAATCGATCGCGGAACACTCGTTGAAGAAGGGATCGGCGAGTTGAATGCCCTCAGGAATTTGTAAAGATTTAAAATTAATAGCTTTCGAAGGCAAGGCTGAGGTAATACAGGGTAAAACCATACACTTGACTATCGTATTATAATTCGAATTTCTAGAACGTATATTTAATTCGCATAATTTACTCGACTGGGTGAGTGATCGTCCTACACCCGATATTTGCGTAGTGGACTGTATCGAAGAAACGTTTAGTTTTTTAAATAATTTATCCGTAATAAAGCAATGTTGACTACCGTTATCCAACAGAGCGCGTATTGTAATTATATTATTATCATCGTCTACAACTTCGACAAGTGCAGTGCATAATAGCACCTGTTGCGACGAAAATAAAGTCGTTATTCCCGTATCCGTCTAACTCGCAACTGAGTGAAGCGCGGTAAACGCGCCTTGCGGCTTATCAGCTGACGATGAATGATGCGCACGGTCAGCTGATCCTGCGCCGATATCCGTATGTAATAAACTATTGTGTTTAAGTTGGCATTGTTTACATGGCCCAAACAAACATTCGTTTATCGTATGTCCGGCACGCAAACAATTACAACATAATATTTTTTCGTTTACAAATTTTGTTCTATCTTTGATACTTAAATTTAAAAATGAAATGCAATTGTAAAGTGCATGATTCCCGTTACACATAATACAGACACGCACACGCTTCTCGTTCGACCTATACTTACTGTTCGTATGTGTGTGAGTGGAAACATGACTATGTGTTAACTGCGAATTATTATTTTTACGCAACTGTCGCTTACACTCGTGTGTCGGTCTATATTCACGTTGTTTATAATCGGTCAGGGTAACCTCAAGCATATCGGCCCTATTTCTTAAAAAAGTTAATAAATCGTTTAACTTTAATTTATAATTTGAATCGCTTGAAAGCGAACCTTTATGCTTCTCCCATTCTCTCTCCGTAACGATATCTAATTTTGTGACAATTAAATATATGACAAGTGTGTCCCACGACTCAGTCGGTTCATTGAGGGATTGCAGAGCACGCAAGTTTCTTAAAATCGTATCAATTAAAAATCTTAATTGTATAGGTGATTCTTTAGAGATATTTGGTACAGAGAATAGTGACCTTACATGATTGTGCACCAGCAAACGATTATTATGGAATCTATTTTCGAGTAAATCCCACGCATGAGTGTAATTTGATGCCGTGAACTCTAGAGAACTAATTACTTGTAATGCACAACCACTGAGAGATGATTTTAGGTAATGGAACTTCTGAACGGGATCCAAATCTGTATGTTTGTGAATCATGGTTAGGTATGAATTCCTAAATTCCAACCACTTATCATACGAGCCGTCAAAGGAGGGTAGCTTAATTACTGGTAACTTAACGGACGTGAGATTTTGACCTTCTTTATGCGTACACTCAGAATTAGCATTTTCGTTTTCTTTTAACAAGAACTTCGCGACGGCCATATTTGTATAATATCGTTCTTCAATAGCCTCACGGTATTCTAGCTGTAAATCTAATTCTGAGTCTAATACAAGTGATTCTATTTGATCTTGAATGTTACTATAACTATTAAAACAATCTATTGTTGCTTGGATTCTCATACTAATTTCCGTTACTTGCAGTTGCGATAATTTGCTAGACTGGTATTTATTTATGTATTTCTCGAATAAAGTCAATCTAGCCTTAAATGTACCCCGAAGTTTAATAAGCTCGCTAATTTTAATATCATCTCTTTCTACAACACTCATTTTGGCGGTATAAAATGGAAAAGGTAGGTACTTACGGTTACCGCGTCGTCGCAGAAAAAACTTGAAATCTTGATTGACTCACAAGGAAAACTAAATTTATATGACGTATAGGGACACGTAACACTGTACAATACAAATTCGAATGGAAATTGAAGGATTACTAAAGGAATTACGACTCTGACCGTTTTTTCTCTTGCTGGTAGGTACTTTCCGTGAAGTGTGGAAGCGTTTATCCGGCTCGAAGGACCATATTTATGTTGAGGCCAGGATCCTTTCGTAATGGTGTTGCTCTTCAATGACATACGTTTATTATTGATTTTCAATACGTTTAATAGCGAAAAAATTTAACATTGTATATATGAATATGATTAACAAGCGAGTAACAAAATGAGAGAGAGTGAAGTTCGTCGCGTCGCGCTCGCGAGCTTCACGATGGTTGTCGTCTTTTAATTAACGCCGATAGATGGCGTTAACACATTGAGGCCCGCAAATGGCCCCAAACTGGAACGGGGACATCGAATTGCAAGACAGAGATACGTGCGCGAGCACCTAAACTGGACACTAGACGATTGGTCTAGGGTAATGTTCACGGACGAGTCTAAATTCATGCTTTATAAGCATGATGGTAGGCAGTTGGTGTACAGAAGACCAGGGGAGTGCTTCCATCAAGCGTGTGTGGAGGAAAAAGTGGCGTACGGTGGAGGCTCCGTACAAGTTTGGGCCCGCTTCTACTGAGGCCCGCACCGAGCTGGTGCTCATTCAAAATGGAACTCTAAATGCAGAGAGGTACGTGGAAAAGATCCTCAATGAACATGTAGGTCCTTTCATGGCCAGGATGGACCGGCATGGCATATTAATGCATGATAATGCGCGTCCCCATACCGCCAGAATTGTACATGACTACCTTGAAGAGGTCGATATCGAACTCATGCAGTGGCCAGCGCGAAGCCCGGACTTAAACCCCATCGAGCACGCCTGGGACGAGCTTCAGAGATGCGTGAAAGGTCGAAACCCCCCCACCAATCACGCTTCCCGAGCTCAAACAAGCACTGGTGGAGGAATGGGAAGGTATTCCTCAGTACCGGCTCCGAAATTTGGTGTACAGCATGCCTAATCGCCTGGAAGCTGTCAGAAGAGCTCGTGGAGGCAATACAAAGTATTAAATGAAGAAAGTGATGAAAAACAGCAAAAAAACAATCATAAAAAAATGTAATCTTAAGAAAAATATGACTACTTTAGTTTTTTTTTTTAATTTAGAGATAAGTTAAGAAATAGAGAGTTTGGATTTAAGTTTTATTTTATTTTTTATCTGTATAATTAAATTCTCAATTGAACAGTCTTCGTTTCATTAGGATGGCATACGTAGTTCGGGAGATATTCGGGTTTGTGTGACTGACCCGTTATTTTTGGAACCGAGTTTATATAGCTACGGTAGAGTACAAAGAATGGGCCGGTACTATAACAAAGCCGAAATAAAGATATAAAATAACACATTCAAAGGGATATAAGATGACTGCCTCGTTGTTGCAGTAGGTAGCGTATGCGACTGCTGTGTTGAGGTCTCGGGTTCGATTCCCGGGTCAGACCAAATGTTTGTATAATCTGCAAATATTTGTTTGGGAGTTTGGGTGTTTTCTATGTTATTTACAAAAAAAATATGTAGGTATTCTATCAGTCAATCTAGCATTCCTAGTACGAGCTCTGCTTAGTTTAAAATAGATGGCGTTGTATGTTAGATATCCCAAATATTTATTTATTCAACAATAAAAAAACATTCAAAGGGTGAAAATTATGTGTACACACCCGTTTAGAAATTTTATCTTATAAAAATTTACAAAAGTACATCGTCATGAATACCATTTTAACTGCTGCTGTACGTCTTCCGCACACACACGCATATAATGCTTGTCTGTTGCTGTTTTGCTATATCTACTTATATAATGCTTGTCTTAAAAACGTTATTAACAAAATTAATATAAAATTACATAATTGTAAAGATAGAAAACGATTCTGGAGGTGCTATCCGCGACACCTTTGACGAAGACGATTTGTCGGGGGGCGTCATCGCAGTCCTGATGACGACTTTGTACTTCCGCGCACGCTGGCGAGTGGCCCCCACTGTACTCAATGGTACCTGGCCCTTTCATGACGCTGACGACGCCCCCAAACGCACTGTGCGTATGGTAAAAATCAATGATATTATGGGGTATGCTGATATGAAAGAATGGAATGCTGAGGTCAGTAACTAATTTTACTTTATTCAATGAAAATACCACACCAATTATTGTAAAAACTACACAGATACATTAACAGATATTTGAATATTATAAACAAAATTAATTGGAAAAAGGACAATTTCGAAATACTCGAATTGTTTGAAAGAGGTTAATCATTTATCGTAAGGTATGTAGACGCAAATTAAAACAAAATACACCACTACTGCCACGATAAACAGAGCGCTGTTGAGCAGATTTGCAAACTGGATCCAGTCAACGCGAGCACTCGCTTTCTCTTCACCTACGTTAGTATTATCCTCCGTCAAGTTTTTAGTATCGCCGAGCTCGCTCTGGTCGAATTCTGTAAACACTACATATTTAGCGGGACCGCTTTTAACCAACCTGTTCAATGATATAATCCACCCCGGCGCTGTTGTAACCTGTCGTCTTAAATACATCAATAGTAAAGTTTCGAAAATTCCGACAACCGTAACAATCATGGAATCTCGAAGAAACAGAAGTATTATCGGAGTATCTGCACTGTGTTTAGGAATTTGATAACCGATTTCGGTGAGGAAGGTAAAATGTCCGTATAAACTGAAGCAAATTAATACTAAACGTATATTATCTCTGACATCCAATACCAAAGAAATCAATGTAAGCATCACGATGACTACCGAAGGCACAACAACCATTGCTGCCGGTCCTGCGGCTATTCTCTTTAGCATAAATGTATATTTTAACATTGGATACGTATTATTAGGACAACAACTATATTTGCCTGGCAAACGTTCGGGTATAACGTCCAAGAGTTTCCAACCTGGTCCATCTTGAAAGTCGTCGCGGATGATCGATCTTTGTTTGTAAAAGGTATAATTGACCTGTTCACCTGTATTCATCCACGAACCAAAGTACAGCGTACAATTTTGCATGTCATACGGCCATTTTCGTAGCGTTGTGCGGCAAATGCCTGAGTGTGCTATATGAGGCACACAAGTAACGACACCCTCGTGCGTAACCAAACATGTCGTGTAAATCTGGTCCGATGGATACGTAGTAGGGTCTGCGTTGTACAATGCCATTCTTGGTGTCCAAATTCGGTGGCTCTCCAACTGCGCTTTTTCAATGTTGCCGTAGTCAGAAGGGATCCACGTTAAAAACTCATCTTGCCACATCATTCCCACCCAGCTGTGGACGGTAAACGTTTCCTCTAAAGAGTCAAAGCTAATGTATTTTAGAGCAAGACGAACGGACACTTCTATTGAACTTTTATGGTCCTTGACAGGTCTTGAATCGTAGTTATATGCGCAAAGTAAATCGTTATTTAGCCTACTTTCATCGTGATCTTGTTCTTTGCGCTCGTCAGGACAATCGCAGGATATAAGCGTCACAGTTAGCGCTAATAGAACGCACAAGGTATAAAATATGTCACATCGCGACATGGTTGAATCTACAATGATGGCCGTTGTTGGCTAACAAAGCTAGCCTCACATCGTTGTAATTTGATTCGTTAAAACGCCCCCAAAGATAAAGGTTTTGATATTCACTATTGCCAGATTCCCCATCTGTATACCTATAAGCAAATATTATGATTTTGGGGTTGCGTGGGCAAACAATTAATTAATTTATAATAGTTTTATTAAAATTTTACGGTAGGTAATAACTGAGCAGACTTTAGCAAGAGAGAGGAAGTTAACAAAATTTCTTAACGCTTGTTAGCCGTAAAGTCACGAGTTTACTGGCCCCAAGCTATTCTAACAGGATGATGTGCTTACACACTTTTCCCTCATTCCGAAACAGCCAAAAAGCCCACGTTTGACTTAAAAACTAACACAACCAAATCTAGCCAATCATTTATTTCTATACAGGCTTTAGAGATAAAGTACGGGTTACCAGACCTCAGTCTCGTGATCATAGTACCGCGTTTGCCATCACTAAGGAAGCTGGCTGATTACGTCACGAGTACCAGTCTCAATCACATCACGTCCAAGATGAAGAACGCGCGGGTAGCAGCCACATTGCCCCTGTACACGCTACGCATGACTTTATTATTACCTAATAAATTACAGTCTGTGAGTTATTTTTTAACAATAAACCAAAAAGATCCAATACACTCGAAAATCCTTGATTTTTACAGTCCCAGGAGAACTTGGTTCTCATTTGTCAAATTTTTCTTTGGTGTGTAGGTATATTATGTATAATCTAAGCTAATTGTGAACTAATTTCAATCATTTTTTTATTTAAATTTGTTATACTAAAGGTGGGAATGAGTGAGAATTACCTCTATGTATGGAAGTTTCTGTAAAACGAGTCCAATAGGGGTGGCGCTGTGGTAGCCTAAAATAAATTTATATCTTCTTCTTAGATAATAATTAGACACTGTGTGCTAGACTGCGAAAATAGTCAATGAGTTTTACAGACAATAAATAAACGTGTAATTAATAACTTTTAGGCAGTAAAAGTATTATAACATTTTAACTCAGCATACCTCACTCCGTCTACAACAGCTATGTTCGTATCGTAGCTTTCGTACGCCAGCGACCTATTTTTTCAGTATACAGTTGGACACTTTTTCAACTTTCCCCTCTTTAAGAGATGGTTCTCCCTGCCTCTGCACTCCATAGTCCAGCTGTGGACGGCAACAGGCTGATGACAATGATACTCAAGTCTGCTTCCATTTCAATTTATTTGTTTATTCGGTTATTCTAATATCATAAACATTTTTGTTTTTAAACGTGTCACCTCTAAATGTGGGCGACTAAGGGATTAAGATTAAAGTTTAGTTGCATCTACCATTATTTGGTTACTCATGTTATTCAACACAAACCTATTAATTAGCTATAGTATTTATGGTTTTGTTTGTATAGTAATCGATATATATAATTATATAAATATCATATTAGTCGCAAAGAATCCTAACATTTCTTAGTTTTCTTTGGCGTGTGCTAAAAAAGCACACACACACAAACACTTTTGTTTATTTGTTTAAAAATAAAAAGATATTTAAGTGTCTAATACTTGTTTATTGTTTAAGTGGTCTAAAACTATTTTCGCATAATTGCCATTGTAATTAAATCTATAACGGACATTGGTAGAAACAATTTTTACTTTGTATAAATAAAGATTTATTTGATTTTAAAAGTTAATGTTTGTTCCGTTGATAATCGATTTATTTATTTAAACAAAAAAAAAAAAGTAATATTATCAGCATCACTTATCGCCTCGGGAGTAGAATACCAGATTCACAAAATAGCATATAGGTTTCCTGACAAACACTGGTTTTTTTTTAGTAAATATTGACACTTCTCAGTTTTTCACAGGTTCATTGCTGAATGCATTTTAAAATGTACAAGCTCTGAATCGCAAACTAGAAAAGTGTTTTAACGTAACTTTTTTTGCACTAGATGGGTATTTCGCACTTGGTCGATGTCAGTAAATGGAAAAAAGGTGATCCATTAAGATTGTCTCACATGGTGCAACGGCTCATGTTCTGGGCTGAGGCTGGACGAAATGCTTATAAAGACGACGGTAAGGTTCTACGTTATCAAACACTACGTTTTCTGAACTTTCCTGTATGCTTTTTTTTGTTTCACATGTTACACATTTATAACGTCACAATCAAGTAGCTGATAGATGGTGTTGGTTTTTGAAGCGAAACTCGATTTTATGTGTGGTTATAGAACAACCTAAAAGCAAGTAAATATTTTTCATTACCATTGTTTCTTTTTATATTACTACGCTCATTCTTTTAACCTACTATTTGATGCACCTACGTCATTCATTCCTACTTCACTCTAAGCTAGACTGATAAAGAATTCATTTGGCATTCATCCGTCTCTGTTCATGTTGTTTGAAATGAGCAAAAAAAGTACTAAATAGTCGCAATGCTTCTTAATATAGGATACTATTTAAAAATATAAGCGGGAAAGTATTTGCTACTTTTGCGAAAGTTACGTTACAAAGGAGTATTTAAAGTAATTTTTGATGAAACAAGGAATATCATAAACTATTACCGTATTTCCGGGGATCAGCCTGTTAGAATTACACGTACTTACGCGATCCTGACTTGCGTGAGCTGTTGTTTACACTCACCAATTCATCCGTGTTACTTGTTTTAGCATTGTCCATTTCCATCCATTGCCTTCCCTACTTATTATACTTACTTCCAATTTCTTGATGAAACTTAATTAAGCAAAATAAGGGCGTTTAGTTTGCCCTATGTCATTCGAGGATACGTTAGTGTATGTATGTGCAAGAAATCTCCTTTCGAAAATCAATTCATTTTCAGTGTTCTTTATTTTTATCATATGTTATATATGTATATATATTTTACTCTTCATTTTAACACAGGTGTCACAGGTTATATTATAATTAATAACATTACAAAAAAATCTACTATCTTTAGAAATAAGGAGTATAATCATAAGTGTAACAAACACTAATTATTACACATATGGTATAACACTATCTACGTTAATCTTTAAGCCGCTAATGTCTGCAATAAATCTCAATACCTACGTATGCTAATATTTTATCTTTATTTAATGATATATTATCTTTCTACGAACTCTAGTCTTATCGCATATTAAATATGTGGTTTTAAATAAAACATATCTACCTAACCTATTTTGTATTATTAAATAAGTAATCGGGGTTCATCAATAAATGGACCATATACCCCAAAACACAGACATCTTGAATGCTGAACCCGAAATTAGTTCGTTCGAACAGACGTAGTCTTCAACTTCATAATATGATATTGCTACAACAATTTCCTTCATCGCCGCCATACCGACTGACACTGCAGCGATATTGTGATGTAGTTACCTGAAAGACAATTGTCGTAATAAAATTCAGTTCTGATGTACTCTATTGACCCCTGATCTTATATGGGAGTGCAACATAATCTTTGTAAAACTTTGTAAAGTACACTGCGCATTGGGCAGGAAATAAGAGGCTAAAACGATGCCAAAAAGAAAACAAATAGGTAAAGAAATCAGTTACGTCATATCTCCAACGTTAAGTTATATTTTAAACCGTACAATATGATTAATGTAATCGAAAGCGATGTCCTTATTTTTAATTAGAGAAAACCCATACGTAGATACTTCTTTTTTATATATACACTGGCATAGGCCTTTTAAGTAAGTAGTATCTAATGTTCTCATAATAATGTCTATAGCAGGTGCGTGTAATGCGTGTTTTGTCTTGTGTGTAGATACTTTAAAGCAGTAATTGATTTATGTTCTAGGTATTGAATGGGATCCAACACCGGAGAAGCAGATTCTTATAGACAGACCATATATATTCTTTGTTCGTTGGCGCAACCTTACACTGATGAACGGGAACTTTGTACTTTAAGTGTAAGTTTAAATTAAGCAGTGGTTTTTGTTACAAATATTACAAAATGTTTCCTACTTACCGCAACTTATTTAAACTTTGATATTAAATAAATACACAGTAATGTATCTATAGTTTATTTACAATAGCAACTTAACATATACCTATAATATAAAATGTAGAATATACACAAAACAAAATCAATACCTATTTTATTCATGATTAGGATTTATTACCAAAAATGTGAGGAGCAGGTAATTAATTTATATCAACATCATCATCACATCTACAGTCCCATTTATTAGTCCAGTGCTGGACAAAGGCCTCTCCTTAGAAAGGAGGTTTTGGTCTACTGTTTCAAGTTTTCCTTCTCTTTGCAGTACTGTTGTGTTGCGTAGTTTGCTCTTTTAGTCGGCTCTTACGACACTCACGTGATAAATAGGGGTGATGACACTCTGTATTCTTAAGCCATCACCACGGATCAGATAATTTATTTAAGATCATAATTCTATAACTAACTACTTCTGATATAGTCTCAAAGAACCTTATGGCTTACTCAATAGGCTTACCTATGTAATTATCTGATTAAAAACGCGTGTGTCTTATGGATGAACAATCGCATTTTATAACTTTACCCAAGCTGGGCCTTGTCCTGGGCCTGAGGGTTGGGTCTTCCTGGACTGGACTTCCTTTCAAGTTCCCCCGGAGACCACCATCAAGATGCCATCAGCGAATGCTCCGGATCGACGGCACATTCTATGAGAACTGACATGAAATAGCTTTTTTTTTTCAATAAAAGTCATTAATGTTTAAAAAACCTATTTACGCAGTACAAAAGCGATTATTATTAATACAAATTCACTACTGTTTACTTTTACTCGAGTTGTTATATGACAACAATATACTTTATTGTTCTTATTAATTACAATTAATTATATAAATATATATATTTAAGATGTTTAATTATAATTCGATAGTATTTTTTTCTATTTTAAATCAGCCAAAAAAGATCTGACTTCTGACTATTATAAGTAAATAAGAAACAATTATACATATGTAGATAAACGAAAGTTTCAAATTCACTAAATAAAACTAAAGAATATGTTTGCAAGACGTCATCTTGGACTTTATTATCCATTTTACCAGATTTACAGTCCTTGGTAGAAACTTCATACATACTCATCATTGAGAGCCCTTTACAAGTGTTTGCTTTTAGAATTCATTTATCACAAATAGAAAGAGGATTCTGAAATTTATAAACAAGAACAGAAAATCCAACAGTGTAAACAAGAGAACGCTGTTATCTCCTGTCTTGAATTATATAATATTAAAAGCCTTCTTCTTGGCAGAGATCCGTGTCCGATATCTTGAGATTTACATGAATATTTCTTTCTACGTTTGCGTATACCACGTAATTAATTATTAATCACAAAATTATTATTGACTTTATCCCAAAAGGTTGCCGAAAAAGACGTTAAACAAATTTTCTTTCTTCTTCTTATGACGTCTCTTAGCTTAAATAAAATTTAGGTTCCACATCCTTGCAGTGTTTAGATTCTGGTAAATATCTTTCCTCCTATGGGACTTGAAACTTGTTGAGTTTCTGTATACTGCCTTTTCGGTTAAAACGTGGTGTTTCAACACATTTCTTGTTACAGGCACCTTTTGGTTGACAGAGCGTATTTTTATTAGCATGAATTGCAATACCGCTGCGGTGAAATATGGCGCCTAATTCTTGAAATTTTGGCCAATAGTGGGCACGCGCAAATGCTGCCGCTGTTTCGCCAGAACAGTCGCGAGTGATCAATACTTCGCTTCCTCGATGCCCGTATACCATCCATTGGTCCGCAGTTGCATTTTGCAGCTGATATTCACCTAGATAAATTAAGTTAATAAGTTAATAAATAAAGTTCAGTACTTTCAGTCTGTTCAGTACTTTAATAAGGTTCCAACATAAATAATACTTTTATGATAGGTTGGCCAAAACCTCCTTTCTAAGGAGAGGCCTATGTCCAGCAGTGGACTAATATAGGCTGTTGATGATGATGATGATAGGTTGGTAGACGGGAAAAGATATTAGGTTGACCACATCAACGAACGTAAGCAGGTGTTAACTTCTCTGGCAAAATATATATGTAGGCACAATAGTGTATTTATAGAAATTCTTGAGTTATAAAGAGTATTAAAGTTTTTATGTAATATTCATGCTTGGAGGAATATGGAAAGTTAAGTCAAAAAGCAAATTAACGTTAATATGTAGAAGTGCAAGAAGATATTATTTTGAACATAAATATTTGTGTGTGATATTAACATTTTATTAATAACCGCTTCAAAAATCATCTTTTAAGTGCGGTCCTTATTCAATGCATTAATTTTATTAGCAACTTTATGACTTAATCACTTTATGAGTTGTCATACTCTTCGGTAATAAATAATATTATCTTGTATATGCAAATGGCTTTTTCTTTCTAGAAAGATGTTTATATTAACTCACAAACCTATTCATGCAACCTGTTAGTGTAATTAAAATCTCTTCGAATCGAGCTTGGCAAGGGTTGCAAGTTTTTGACCAGGGGCGGCGGGCGGGGGCCCGGGCGCAGGCTTTGGGTTCCCTGCGCACGAACCCGAGGGGCAGGGCATTGGAGAACTGGGCTGAAAGATTCGGCCTAGTTCTCCTAAACCGGGGGGCCGTGGCCACGTTCGTGACGGCGAGGGGTAGTTCGATCGTGGACATCTCGTTCGCATGCCCCTCGCTAGCGCGTCGTGTCCAAGACTGGCGCGTCGTTGTCGGGGAGGAGACAGGTTCGGATCACCGATATATTCGGTTTGACGTCTCCGCCCCTACAGATGGCGCGCCGGTCAGAACGGCACCACCTGAACCACGCTGGGCGCTCAAGCGCAATCTTAGATCGCGATCTCCTCCTGGAAGCCGCCATCATACAGGACAGGCCTGTCGACGTCGATGCTGAGGCACAGTGGTTCCGGGAGGCCATGACCCGCGTCTGCGATGCGGCGATGCCTAGGGCTCAGGCCAATACTGCGAGGCGCCGGGTCTACTGGTGGTCGCCGGAGATCGCACGGCTGCGTCAAGCCTGCGTGACCGCGCGCCGCCAGTGGTCCAGGTCCCGCAGGGGGCGTCGCCGCCCCGAAGATGCGGCAGCGAGAGAGTCGGAGCTGTTAGCGGGGTACAGGGTTGCCAAGAGGACCCTTCAAGCAGCGATAAAGCGGGCCAAGAGCGAGGCCCGCCGCGAGATGCTGGAGACACTGGAGCGGGATCCGTGGGGACGCCCCTACCGTATGGTTAGGGGCAAGATGCGCCCATGGGCCCCGCCGCTCACCCGGTGTCTTCAGCCAGAGCTGTTTGAGAGGGTCGTTGGCTCCCTGTTCCCAACGCGAGTGGTGGAGCATACTCCGCCACAGATGGTTCTACGTGGATAACGACGACGTGCCTGAGGTCACTGGGGTGGAACTAAGGGTGGCGGTGTTACGGCTTAAAGCTAAAAACACCGCCTCGGGACCCGATGGCATTCCTTGCCGAGCGTGGGTCCTGGCCTTAGTCGTCGAGACTCTCGAGCCCCGACTGCGAGGGTTCTTCAGCGCATGCCTGGAGCAAGACCAGTTTCCGAAATTGTGGAAGACGTGGAAACTGGTCCTCATCCGAAAGGAGGGGCGCCCGGCGGACACACCGTCCGCCTACCGGCCCATAGTGTTGCTTGACGAGGTGTGCAAGCTCTTTGAAAGAATGATTGCAAGGCGCCTCGTCAAGCATCTCGTGATGGTGGGGCCGGATCTGGCGGACAACCAGTACGGTTTCCGTCAGGGGCGCTCTACCGTGGATGCGATCATGCGCGTGAAGGCTCTGGCGGAGGAAGCAGTTTCAGTTGTCCTTGGACATCGCATTCAACACTCTGCCCTGGAGCTGCATCAGGAAGGCGCTCGTGTATCACGAAGTGCCTCTCTACCTCCGCCGCATAGTCGGGGCATATTTGTCAGAGAGAGCCGTCGTCTACCCCAGTAGGACCGGTCTCGGTAGGCGTGAAATGTCGTGCGGTGTTCCGCAGGGGTCGGTGTTAGGGCCACTCTTGTGGAACATTGGCTACGACTGGGTGCTTCGTGGTGCCTTCTTGCTCTTCTGGGTGCTTGGTGTCGCCGTCGTGTGCTACGGGGACGACACGCTTGTGACGGCGCGCAGCAAGACGCACCACGAGGCAACCCTGAGGGCCACCGCCGGTGTTGCCCAAGTCGTTGAGCGAATCCGGCGGCTGGGTCTCGAGGTGGCTCTGCACAAGTCCGAGGCCCTGTTCTTCCATGGGCTTCGGATGAAGCCGCCTGAGGGATCTAGCCTCACGGTAGGAGGCACTCGCATCGGCATCGAGCCCTTGATCAGGTATCTGGGGCTCGTAATCGATGGCCGATGGGACTTCGGATATCATTTCCGAGGTCTGGTCCCCAAGTTGGTTGGGGCAGCGCGTGCATTGGCGCGGCTGCTGCCCAACATGAAGGGACCCGATGACTCCTGCAGGAGACTCTACTCGGGGGTTGTGCGGTCCATGGCCCTTTACGGGTGCCCAGTATGGGCCGGGGCCCTGAGGGCCAGCAACGTCGCAATACTGCGACGACCGCAGCGAGTGCTGGCCATCAGGATCATAAGGGGGTACCGCACGATCTCCTTTGAGGCGGCGAGTCTCCTGGCCGGAACTCCACCGTGGGACCTGGAGGCGAGAGCCCTTGCGGCTCTGTATCAGTGGCGCAAGGAGGCGCGGGAGTTGGGTCGATGTCCCAAGGTTCGAGAAATCGATGACCGGAAATCCCAACTCCGCCAGGTCATCATAGGGGAGTGGAGGGAACGACTCGGGCAACCGAGCGCCAGGCACGCCGTCATCGCGGCGGTAAGACCCGTTATGGAGGATTGGCTCGAGAGGCGTCACGGGACCCTCTCATCTCACTGACGCAGGTGATCACTGGGAAAGGATGTTTCGGGGATCACCTGTGTCTGATCCGCAAGGAGCCAACGCCTGAGTGCCACCACTGCGATGGCCAGACCGTGGACACGGCTCTCCACACGCTGGCGGAGTGCCCGGCGTGGGTTGAGCAGAGGCGAGACCTCGTGGCGGCCATCGGAGTGGGAGTTCTCTCGCTCGATAGCCTGATTGCGGCTATCGTGCGGAGCGAGAGTGCGTGGAACTCTGCCGTCTCGTTCTGCGAGCAAGGTATGCTCGCGAAGGAGACGGCAGAGCGGGACCGGGAGAGGTTTAGAACTCTCCCGGCCCGCCAGGCCCGGGAACGGGCTAGGTACCGCAGGCGACTAAGGCGCCGGAGGTCGCAGAATGACCTCCGTCCTCCATAAGCGCAGGCCTGGGGGTGTCAGGTGAGGCCATCTGTCACCCTAGCAGAAGCAGGCCGGGGTGGCGGCGAGCGCGTTGCGAAGCGCGCCCGCTTCCAGGGAGCAGAGGGAACATGGGGTTCCCACACGGGGGACTTCCTTTCTAGGGTATACCTGGTTCCCCGGCTATTAGTACCCGAGACGGCGTGCGGTTTTAGTCGGTTCGAGTCCGACATGCCACCGATAGGTGGTATCCGAGGGGATTTCCGCACGGAAAAAAAAAAAAAATAAGGGCGACCATGGGTCTGGATTGCAAATAGCGAGTCAGTATACTTACGTTTGTTACAATCTACGAGCGGTTTATGATATATAATTAGCCTATTACGTCAATATATCGTCAATATCTTGTTAAATATAGATGCGATTGCGGAACTAAATGCGGATGGTGGAATTTTTCAATTGAAATGTTTATCAAGCAAAATTGTTCGTCGATTAGGTGAATTACTTATATGAAAATTAAGTTTAGAACCTAGTAACAGATAAACTATTTCTGCGAAATCTACTAACTAAATCTATTTTACAAATCGTATAGAGCCATGCAATTTAAATCATGATAACTTGACACATCACGAACGCGGCCGTCTGACCCCAAAGTAGACAAATCCTGTGCTATGGTAACCAGACTGCTGATAAACATACTTATATATTTCTAAATACATACATATTATGGATATGTTACACCCAGACACAGAACAAATGATTGTGCTCATCACACAATTAGTTGTCCTAGGTGGAAATCGAACCCAAGACCTCTGGTTTAGCAGTCTGGGTCACTAACCACTAGACCAACAAGCTAATCATTATTGTATTGATTAGCATTTACGAGTAGACAAAAAAATATTAGAACGAAATTCCTTATCGCGCGTTGTGAAAGGGGACTAGACGGAAAAAATTCGTACGAAAATTTGGAACGACACTTTTAATATAAATTGACGTCTAACTGTGGATACCACACATTAAATTTGCTTTAACGTTCGCCAACGTCCATACCATGTTGAATACACCGGTTCTCGTCCGATCACCGAAGTTAAGCAACATCGGGCGTGGTTAGTACTTGGATGGGTGACCGCCTGGGAATAGGTACCACGTGATGTTGGCTTTTTGCTCTTTATTTTCGTGTCATCTTGTCAGACATTCAGCGCCATCTATCGAATAGATAGGAAATCATTTCGCAAGGAGATTTTACCAATGTATAAATTGTTTTAATTGTTTTTAATATGTAGGTAATAGCCGCTTTCATAGATGGCGTTGTAATTAAAATCGTGTCAAATCAGTTTTACTTGATCGTCACAACTTCGTTCCTATCGGGTGTCCCACGACACCACACGGCTTTTTTTATTATTATATTTTCTGCGGAGTTAGACTAGGTGTGAAAACAGAATAGGGCACGCCTCTGGCGCCCTCAGAGGGTAATGGCGGTCAGAGCCATACGCGGTTACCGCACCGTTTCGACGGAGGTGGCATGCGCGTTGGCCGGAACTCCCCCGTGGGA